GCCACTAACCAGCACATAAAATTCAACTCTACCTATAGACTTTGAGTCAAGACACTGTCAATGCTTTATAATTGTGATATGGGTTGCTGTTTAAACCAATACTATGACATTTGGCACAACGATTATGTATACAAGTTGTGCTGTACTAGATTGCCAAAATCAATAAAGATATGCTTCTACCCATTAACTTTCGTTATCTAATATTAAAAAATAGCTATAACCATATATTAAAAACAAAATGTGATATAAAATGAAGCAGTGTATACATTCCATTCATTCTTTTGTACACATACAAACTATGCAAATATTATAAGTGAACCTCCTAATTACTATAAACAAGTAACATTTGTGGGATGGACGATAATCTGACTTGTGGTCATTCACGACAGCCCATAATATGGAAAATATATGGAGGCAAATACAGAAAATATCCTAACTCATACCGAAATGATTTTGTCTTCCACTATTGCTTCTCTAGCAACAGAGGAGTTAATGATAACCAAACTGGCAAGTAAGCTGATGTTCATTTACGCCTGAAAGAGCAGGAAGACCTTCAAACAGTTTGACCCAGTCTCTCCCCCACTTCCAGTCTGAAGGATGCCACTTAAATATCTCCAGGGACACATGATAAATGAATCCATTAGGACTGTAAAGTGGACTAGAGGAGATACAGTAATTCAGAGTCCTAGGGCCAACGTTTCCTACATTGTGCTATTAATGCATGGCAGATGTATATAAAGGATGCACTATGGCAAAAGCCATTTATAAATTTGATTTGAATATGCTGTTTTAAGCTGTAAACACTTTGTTACCATGTTACTCAAACCTACATATGCTGGGATGTGACCTTACATAATAGAATACTGAGCAGCAGAGAGGAAATGTCATTTATATTTATCTTTCAGCTACAATTTTTTTAACCTTTCGCATATACAAAGCAGAGTTACTTGCACTGCTAATAACTTGCTATGAATGAACATTAAACAAGCACTGAAGGCTTGACAAATCCTAAACATTATTTCCCCAATAAGATTGCAAACAAAATCAGTAAACCTAAAGCTCTGAAAGTACAAACAAGAATATAAGTCATATATGCCAACAGAGAAAACAAATATTTTAAACTATTTTAAATATTAAAAAACATTCTTTTTATTTTTACTCGTCCTTTTTTTAACTACTGCTGCAGTTTCTACATTACTATGTCCTCTGAGGATATAGATATTGTCTACAAAATGTTATCAAGCGTTTGCTGTGTTACAGTTTATTAACCCTGCTAATACATATTATTTGGAATGTCCCATGATAAATCACATTCTATTCCAATGGAAAAACATATTAAATATATACAGGGTATAGTCAAGGCAATAGTTCAATATAGAAGCTGTATCAAAGTGGCTAAGTTTAACCCCTAACTCCAAGTTGAGAATACTGTATAGTGCAGCACTTGTTAACCTTCTCAAACCTGTCTCCCTTTGGGCAACAACCCCCCCTCAACACACACACTTTTTCCAAGTATACATCTGACTAGTACTGGCTAGTATAGTATCTGGTAGTCATCTCTTGCTCTTCTTTTCATCAAGGGTGGACAATCCCCCTTACTAAAGGGAGCATACAGTGTCAGCACAAGGACATACAGTGCCCAAGGTGAAGATGCTAAAACTGTGCCCACTTCTTCTGTGATGTGTGCACCCAATGATCTTACCCACATTGTGCATGCCTGATTGTTATACCCACATACAGGGGTCAGAAGTGTGCAATGTACAGAAGGCAGGGGTCAGGAGTAAGTCATGTACAGAGTGCAAGGGTCAAAAGTGTGTAATCTACAGAGTGCAGGAGTTAGGAATGTGTAAAGTACAGAGTGCAGGGGTCAGGAGTAAAAGTAACGTTCAGAATGCGGGTCAGGAGTAAACGTAAGGTGCAGCCCAGTGAACTGAGTTTAGGGGTCAGGAGTATGTAATGTGCATAGTTCAGGGGGTCACGAGGATATGCACCATAATGGACAGCACCCCTGTGATTCACTACACCCCATTAATTCAGAGGACAGCAGTACCCTCTATGAGGCATTTTGACAATACACACATACTCACATACATACATTCACACACACCCATATGATTGCATACACTATCATACATACACGCACACCCACATACATTCATACATACAGTATATGCACACACACATCCATAAAAACACTCACACACTCTCAAATATACATACATTTATATACACGCACTTATACACATACTCACACCCACATACATAAACACACATACACTCACGTACATACATATAGCTTCAAAAAACTGTACCTGACTAACTTTCCTTTAGTTTCCATCTTGTGCTGTAAACCAGGCAGGTTTACAGCACAAGATGGTAGAGTTGGAAGAGGTGGGGATTCAGGATCACATACAACCTTCCCTTCATCCTCCAATCTCTGTAAGTTGGCCTGTGGAGACTTTGGGAAGGCATTGATCGGTGATGCAGACTGCAGCACATCACACACCTTAAAACCCTGCACCCAGGGCAGCTACCCCTCATGTTCCCCCTTGTCATTGCCCTGGGCAAACACATACAGCTTACTAAACAAGTTGTAGCTGTATTTATTTTAGCCATTCAATCATTTGCATTAAAACATCCTTTTCAATTTCTCTTGATATGATTTGACATTTAGAGTGAACACAGCTTTACTAAGCTTAGTGAACTTTTAATGTGCAGCATGGACACTCTCTACTCATTTTATAAATCAACCTCAGACTATTTAAGTGCATTTGTGACTGTGGAAGAAACATTCGAATGTAAGCTCCTCTATAACACAGGCTGGCGACAGTGGTTTGATCTACCCTGAACAGTGTTGCTTAATATGCTGGCTATATTATGCTATATAAATCTGGGCATGAATGCATCTAAGACACATGCATATATGACAAAAAGATTGCCAATTTAATGACATATTCAGCTGATTTATGCCATGTCAAATGCTTAATACACGTTGGGATTAATACACCGAATTTGTCATTCTTTCATTTTTGTTTCCAGAGGATACAACATGGGAATTTATATCTAGGTTGTTTCTATAAAAAAAAGAAAATATAAATGCATACCTGAGCTAAGAACATTTTGATAATCTGAGTTGTACCATTTTCCCCATTCTGAAGCATTCTCTGTTATCTGCAACAATAAATGGTTGAAAACATGACATGCAGTAGTTTAGGGTGAAGTTGGTAAATCATAAAGGACTCTGGTTAAAGCACAGCACATTTCTTGCTATGCACTCTAAAAGTAAGGACTTGCTTAGTACATTTCTCTCCATCCTCAGCTGCCATTGCTAGTAGTCTAGCATTGAATACTATATGGAACACACCTGGTGATATACACATGAATCTGAGGTGTGAAGTGCAAAACATTAAGTGTATTCATCATTTCATGGGGTATAGCTAAACTACAGTATCTTCCCAGAGCACTGGATCAAAACAGTGCAACTATTTTACAGGAGCAGAAAGCATACTTTTGTGCACTTATATTTGGAGAAGACATATCCAACATTTTAAAATATTAAATACCTTTTTCGAGTATTACTTTTTCTGCGTTTGATGTGTGTCATCAAATTCCTATTGATTTCAATTGAGGTGCATTTGAACAGCAGATCAAAACACAGTATTTTCATGTCAAATGTTTTTTCTATTCGAACACATTTGAATACAAATGTGGCATTTCACAAGAACACAAATTTCAAAAAAGTTTGTCTTAAGCCACACCCCATTTTTCACAAACTCTAATCTGATTTAACCACATACCTATTTAGAAAAATGTTTTAGAAAAATGCATTTATTTTTTTGTAGAGTCCAAAAATCAAAGCTAACAGATGTTAAACCTTACAACTGCAATTCCTGATTCTTTACCTTGTGACACAACTGCCTGAGTTGCACTGAAGTGGCTGACAAAAACATAATTTTTTCCCAACTATCATAAGGCAACCATGATGGTGGATTTGGGGTGTTGTTCAGATGTTTTTCGTTAAATGTGTAACTGCCTGTAAAAATCAAGGACAAGTAAAACTGTAATTATTATTGGGGGTTTTTTTCAAAAACATTACTGAAGTAATTCATGCAAAAATTCAATAGCCACCCAGGTCCCAAAGTTCCCTGCCCAGGCTTTCAGCCGAATATGCAGAATTACACCAGTTAGTAGATAGTGGGTCCATTAAATTGACTAAAACATTTTGTAAACTATTTAGAAGTGATATACTGAAATTTATAAACCACCTCTAACCCGCCACTTTTGCAATCCAGTATACCAGTATTTACTGGAGCACTGGGAAAACAGTGAACTGGTTGTGCATATTTTTAAATAAAATATGCTATAATTTCCAAAAAAAAGAAAGTGCCCATAACTGCCAAACTGGAACAATCCAATTAGGTTTGCAATGTACATTGTGCCATACTGAGCATGCAGATATTTTTATTCTCAACATCCATGTAAGGCTTATGGCTACCATGTGGAGTGATTCCGACACACTGAGAATAGAGGCACTTACACTGCACATATTTAGAATCAATGTAACAACTTGTTAAAATTATTTATTAAAACTTTTCTAATTGATTGCCATGGGCTAAAGTTTTTTGCACTTTGGTAGTCAAGCTGTATATGTAAAACATTACATATTGCTACTTTGTTACATTATTTGCACTACAGTTTTGCAATATAAATGTAAAATCACACCATTTAACTTGTGCAGTCTAACTCTGACAGCAGTTTGTGATTGCTGATCGCTCCTGAAAACGTAAGAGCTTGCAGGATTTTCTTTATTATTCATTATCAAACAGATAAGTGAATGGCACTGGTTGAAAGATGCTGCCAGGGAAAGTGGATTTTTCTGTCTTCACACATGATTTAATACACAAGTAAAGCCATAATGCCTTCTCGTCAAGGAATACAAATTAAACTCTTTTAACATTTCACCGCTTCGTGCTATGATAAAGAATGAGCAAGGCTCTTGAGAGGCAGCCTGCAAAGAATAATTTCATTCATTCTAATAACTGCAAAACCAAGCTGCAGTTTCTCAGTAAAAGCAAGGTGTTTATGTAGAGAAACGTTGACTTATTTTCTGATTTGGCAGTCCCACAAACAAGAATTTTAAATTGTTCTCTTCTGAAGGATAATTAGATTTTTTTTTTTACCAAGCAGCAACAATCACTTATTACACACTTTTCTCCCATCTGACTCATAATGTAGAATGCTAGGTCCTCTGCGTTTTCTCTGCTGAGTTTCAGAAGCTACAGATAAAATAACCGATTGTTCATCCTGCGAGCATAGTTCTGGACGGGCCTTTAATGGGTAAGTACACCCTTAATATGTTCAGGCAAATGAAGCAAGCTTGTTAGGTGGTATATAGACTGTTCACTTTGCAAGGGAATTTGCATTTCGCATGGGAATGTTCCATTAGATTAGTGAATGTGGTAGAAATTCACTTTCTAAAGAATACCCAAGGAACATTTTTTTTTTTTTTTTAAAAACAGCATTTTACCTTGCACATAATTGAATGAAAAGTGAAATGTCACCACATTCACTAAGCTAAGGGAAAATTCTTTAAGGTTAAAATGCCTATGACAAGTTAGAAGCCTATTTGCCTTTAGTAAATCAACCTCTTTTTGTCTGAGACTCAGAGAGACAAACTTTCTGGATATTAAAGAAAGCTAGGACCAGCTAGTTACCAAGCATCCTGTGGAGAACAATCTGTGGCAAAAAGGGTTGGAAAATGCACAACTAAATCTGTCAAAAAAAGAAGAAAACAAAGTTTCCTGCAATAGAAGCATCTGTCCTACTGCCATTCCTAGAATCTTTGCTTTGTACGAGAGCTTCTTCCCTCTGAAGAATCTTTCCGACACTTCTAGGATTGTCAAATAGGAACGGTGTTTGGGTATCCTGCTACTGTGGGTTCGAGGCAAATCCTATGTGTTCAAGGTTAGCTGTGTAGCAAATATATGATGAATTTCATCGGGTTGAATTATTTGTAACCATATTGTACTGCATTGCCTTTGAACTTACAAGGGCCAAAATGGTAAATTATAAATTTGTTATGATGTTAGCCCCCTCACTATAAAAGGATAGGTTCCCAGTAGCCATGTGTCAGTGGGTGTTGGGAGTAGTTTACGGAGAGCTGACAGCCTGTGTAGGGAGATTTAGTTGTTATAGTATGTTATATTGTATGAAACTACTGTGGATTGCAGTGTGGTAGGCAACATATTTCCCCGTGTTTACAGTTCAGAGACCCAACAGTTATTTTTTGGACTACATTTTGTGTGTCAGCAACAACTGTAGTTGCTGTTTTTAGTTTTCCTTTATTTCATGTTCAGCCATTTGTGTTATGCTCTGCTAGTTTTAAAAAATTGGTTTGGGTTTGGTATTTCAGTGTTTGTTTGGTTTTTTTTTTTTGGGGGGGGGGTGTATATTTTATTTTGCTAGAGCCTTTATTTTTTATTTTTTAGTGTACACTGACACAGGCAAAGCTTTTCTTTCTTTGCAGCACATCACCACATACTTGTGCAATAAAGAAGTGTGCACCAAGGCATCACATATTTATTGTCCCTATTGTCATAGCTGCTACTAAATTTAGGCAATCCCCTTTACTACAAATGTCAAAGTACGGACAGATTGTTAGGGGCAGTGTTGCACACTCCGGGTCCTCTGCTGCAAGCAGTTTGTGGTGAATGCTCTATTGTCTGTGCAAGGACCCAGGTACTCAGAAAAAAGGGACCAGCATTGGGTGGCCACCCTTTAAATCCTCAATACAAGGGTAAAATGGCTGATATTCAGCCATCATCATAGATGGAGCCCAAATTGCGCTACTTCAAAGAGGTACTGCGTTAGAACGTCTTTGACCAACATGCTTGTAATCCTCTGATCCATAAGGAGGACAGATGCCCTAGTAATGCTTTTAAGAGTTTTTTTAAATCACAGCAGACCTGGCTGCAGCTTGCACTCACAGGCAGCACCTATACCACTTGATAGCTAACTACCTTGGGTCCACAGCTGATGCAGACACTCTCAGATGTGAGGCCTCCATGGGTTATTGGATATCCATGCTGATGTTAGAAATACACCAGCATATGCTGACATGTACTGATTGTATTACTGACATGCAATTATGCCTTTTGAGCTGTAGATGGCGCTGTGGTGCAATGTCGGTCTCTATGCTTATGCATTTTTATCTGTGATATATACAGGAAGTTCTCTCTGTATGTTATAAATGCTACCTTCAAAGCCCAGAAAAAGAAACATTTTAACCTGGAGAAAGCTTTGAACGGAACATGGTGAAACTACACAGCCATTACCCTTCTGTCAAGGTTGCAGGGTCTCATCTGGCTTCCACGCTAGCCATAATTAGCATTAACCTGGTTTGTCCAGGATTATTATGACTGAAGGCATGCTGAGACATTATTTACTGCATCAACCATAGCACTGTGGGAGCCTCGAGTTCAGAACATGTTTGCCCTTATTTACTCAGATGTGTCCGTTTTATATAAGCCTCAAAGATAACCTAGTCATTGTATAGTTCTGTCCACATTTAAAAGCAAAATTAATAGGTTTTTTAAAGTACTGCTGTAGTGGGAAAAAATCAACCAAGCTGACTGCCTTTGATAAGGCACTATGAGGTTCCAGATCATAGCTTTCTTATACCAATAATGCTTTAGTGGTTCTCAACGTGTGTGACTTCAGGACCCACATTTGTCCTCGGTCATTAGGTTGTGACCCAAGTCGCACTGCAATGGAATGCATGGCATTAGGGTACCGCACGTTCCAGTGCAGTCGTACAAACTGTGGGTGGGAGGTGCATTCGGGGTACCATTCAAATGAATGGCAACGCAACATACCTCCCACACAAGAATGCACGGTAGTTGCGGTTGCGTGGTACTGTGCATTAATCACATGGTACTATGCAATTAACGCACTGAACTAGTGTGAACAGGCTCTCAAAAACACTGGCATGCATACACAACCACAGACACATTCACACACACATACACACTCCAAAAAACGTTTAATTTTTTTAAGGTCCACAGTCTCCCTACCTTATGAGAACTGGGGTGGATCCTCAGTCTTGGGTCCAGTGTGGGTTGCTGTGCTGTGATGGAGCTCCATCCATTGCTTGCATTGCATTGCTTGTACATCTCCCTTGCTTGCCCTGTACAGGTGCCATGCGCCAGAATGTGACATCACTCCAGTCACCTCTATAGGACATGTGAGGGAGCTACAAGCAATGCATGTATTGATGGAGCTCCCTCGCAGCCATAACCCCATCCAATCACACCTCAAGCTGACACTCGGCACTGGGCAGCAAATTCTGAAGGGCTGCTTGGCACGAGAACTGACAGTGCTACGCTAGGTGGAGGCAGAGGAGCCTCTTACCTAGAAAAGTGGAAGGCATGTGGCGACCCGCTGAACACAGGGTCGTGAACTACTTTTGGGTCACCACCCACCTGTTGAGAACCAAGGCGTTAGACCAGATTAGTTTTGCCCTACAAAATATTCTGACTGGGGGAGTAGGTACACCTACTCCCCCACCGGAGTATGGTGTTTCAGCAGCCCAAACACTGCCATGTTTGAGTTGGGAGGAACATGCCTATGCAAATATGAAACATCAGAATGATGTCAGAATCTGTATGGAAGCCTAAAGAGGCTTTATTGAAGGTATGATATGGTACCTTATGGTGCCTAATATGCAACAGCTAGCCTAGCTTAGTAAGGTTTTTAACCATTAAAGGAATACTTTTCAATTACTTAAAGTGTATTTCCACTTTTGCAGTCACATTTGAGAAAACCACACTACATGTTTCTTGTGTGTTCCCATTCACACAGCATAACGGGAAAAAAAAAATATTTCCTACCTGTTAGATGTGTTGTTGCAGCAGGCAACATGGTTATATTTTTTTTAAACACCTTCATAGTGTCTGTCCTTATAGAAAGACGTAGGACTGAAATTCGAGGATTGTGTTCCTCTCATTATCTTCATTAACATACAATGCACAAGCCAGGGTTGTAATCCTTTAATGTTTGCTGGGACAGGCAGTGTTCAAATCTAGTTTACAGATTATAATGCAAAAACCCCTCACAACCCCTCCTAACATTACAAAAAAGGAGAAGCGAGTAGAAATTTGAACCCTTAATGATCCAAGAAACCCTAACCCAAGTAAAAGCAATTTAAACTGCAAAAAGCATTTTTTAGCTTATGCTGTGTGAATGGGAACATGCAACAAATTAGTGTTATCCCAATTTGGCTGTGAATGTGGAAATACGCTTCAAGACCTCGGATTGAAAGTGCTCATTTCAGTGGTGTCCTTTAGTTCGAATAAGAGGTGAGAGCATATCTTAGCATCACTACCAGTATAGATAACTTAATCCAATCACCATAGTATCAAGACATATGTCACGGCAGAGGTTGATTGCCCAAGACAGGATGGGAGTTGAGAAACTTGTGAAAGCATTGCTGCATCTCTCCAACTTCTCCAAACTACCCGTCGTGTGTCATTTTCAAAATGCAGCCTGAGATTTTTGAAATACTGTTTATGCAGTCTATACAAAATTTGTCCCGGAAAGCTGCACAAGCTATGTGGTCTAGCCAATGAGATTTAGAAGAATGTTTTTTTTTTTATTATGCCTATGCAGTATGTACAATATTCCTTCCATTTTAATGTAAAAATATACACTTTAAATTGTTTTTGCTTCTCCAAAGGTAAATAAGGGATGTTTATCAGCCAATGAGGTCTACAAGAGATTTATATCAACTTTAATTAGTTTTTTGTCCTTTAAAGCTAACTGAAGAATATGATTTAGCCAATGAAACCTACAAGAAATTGTAGAAATACTACTTAAGTTGTGTATCACATATTCTTCTTCTATCTTAATCTGAAAAAGAAAAATGTTAAATCGTTTTTTTGTCCTCTAAATCTAAACGAGGGATGGATGTGGTTTAGCCAATGAGGCCTATAAGGGATTTTTTAAATAATGCCTATGCAGTGTTCACAATATTCCTTCCTTTTTTTACTGTACAAAAATACACTTTATTGTTTATATTTGGCCTAAATAGCTGTGTTCTTTTAATTTTAAAATGCAGCCTTATCTAATTGCTGCAATGCTGTTCATTTAGCCTGTACGGTATTTCTTTGAATCATTTAAATGTAAAATTCCAACTATTCCACTGTTGATTTTGTACAATATTTCAAGCTGTTTTTTGCTGAAAAACACAATGATGGGAATTTATCAAAACTGGAGCAGACAAAATCTGGAGCAGTTGTGCATGGCAACCAATCAGCTTCTCTCTTTCATTTTTAAATCTTAACTGAGCAAACTGAAAAGAGAAGATGATTGATTGCCATGCATAGCTGCTCCAGTTTTTGTCTGCTCCAGTCTTGATAAATTCCCCTCACTTTAGTTTTTATTTTATGACAAAACCTGCCAAGTCTCTGCCTCTGAAATTGCAGCCCAGTGAAAAGGATAACATAGTGTGCATGGAGACTGTACCATATTTCTGACCTGTCTCAAAAATAATTCACGAAAATAGCTGCATTGTGTCCTCTTTAGTTGCAATTGAACTTCAGTTTTTCAAGTATGTGCAATGTTTCTGGCTGTTGTCTCTGACAAATTTTGCTCTAATTTTTATTTCACAAAAAAAGCTTGCCTTATCTCTCCCTCTCCTAGTAAAACCGCTCACATAATGTAAGCGGGTCTAGAATTTTATGATAAAAACTACCTTGATTGTCCCTCCTACATTGCAGCCCAATCAATCTTACATAAACTCCAGCAGTTATGGTAAATGTCTGGCTTTTGTCTCTGAAATAGGGCACTGTAATTTTTATTTCAGCGTAAGAACTGCCTCATCTCTAGAATGTAGGGTTGTGGTTTTGAAGTGTTTTTCTGCTCTATGTTGACATTTATTGAACATTTTAGTCAATACACTGTGGTTTTGCACAAAATGATCACAAACTATGCTTTGAAATTGTTTTGACACTGTTTGGAAATTGGCACAAAGTTGAGTGCTGTAGCTTTATTTTTTTGGAAGTGTAAACCTTCCAATAGCTTTTAGATCTGTTGAGGTTGCTACTTCCACTGCTTAATTCTGGTCTATTACTACTATATAAAAATGTCATCGCAGAAAGTGCCTGAATGGGTTTTTTTTAAGTTGAAATCATTTAGATTGGAGTGCTGATGTTCAATGTAAATCAAGGAACAAAGGTGCATTACAAATGTAAATATGTGATGCCAGAATACCATGTCACTGACACTGTCTGGGACAATCATACTGTTCCTTAACACTTAAAAATATTTGCCTCCCCTTTGACTTAAGTGGGAGTCAGAATAAAGTTTGCAATTTCCAGAAATTTTGATCAGCTCAACTAACACCCCACAAAACAAACCCATGCTCATTTGTTCATTCCTAATAGACAGGAATGGTATGTCTTACTGTAAGGAGGATCCAGCTGAGTGATACTGGAGAGAGGGAAAGCAAACATCTGCAGAGCAGCATAAACCACTGTTACTACCAACTGCAACTACTAACTTATAAACTATCACACTAACATAGCTGAAAATAATATGGCAAAACAAAAGAACATTAATAACATACAATAACATAGCTTTGGCAAAGTTTCAAAGAAATCACTATATTTATAGCTATCCATACATCAGACTTTAAAAAAAAATAAAACCATTGTAGTATTATAGTCTTCAAGCGGGGGCTGACTATTGAGAGGTTTGAATAAATATGGCTATAATTAATGTTGAAGTTACATTAAATGTGGTATGTGATATTTTATCTATAATAAAAGCTAAAATGATAAAAGCTATAACTATTTACATATCATCAAACAGAATAATAAAACCTAGTTAAAAAAGGCTGCATCTGCATAAATGTAAAGAAATATGCATTTTTGAAGGGTACCTTTCAAGAAGAAATCAATTTCCTCCTCTGTGATTGCATTTTTATTTTCCAAGTGTTGAATACAAAGAAACAAGAGCGCACACACTTGGGTGTTGTGTTCTGGAAGTGAACTCCTAAAATTGAAAGAATACAAAACATAATTTGAATCGGTTTGATATTATATAAATATACTGTATCTGCTCAGCCACTCTGCTCACTTTTATATCAATAGGTCTACAAGATAGACCATGTCTTTGGCACCCTGCTCCAAACCCTCACCTGGGTATGCATGCCCCATTCCTCTCCTTGAGGGCCCGTTCACACTAAATGCATTTGGCTGTCTTAATGCATAGACAAGGCAATTTACCAGAAACTCACAAACCTTTTTTTAAATAATGGATCCAGATCATTCAAATGTACATTGCGTAGCAAAGTATTTCTTTAAAGTTTTGCTCAAACACTTACAGTCATGTTTTCCAAACAGTTGGCTCCAACTCTCTCAGGTCGGCTTCCCTGAACTTTCTGTTTAGTACAAGATCACAAGGAACAAAACAGTTTGCAGCAGCTCTCCATCAACCAGCTTGGAGAAGGGAGAGGGTAGGAAGATGGAGGAGTGGGGAGCAGGAAGGAGAGGAACAGCTTGCCTTGCTGTACCTGTGTGTGGAGAAGCACACAGCTTACTAGAAGACACAGGTGGTTCCATAGGACCATACACGGGGATAGAAGTCACCCTTAAAGAGGTTACCAGAGCCAGTGCTTCTGATTCTGCAGAAAACTAAAACTTTTGCACATCATGGAACAGCATTTGAAATAGCTTACAAATCTTTTTGCTTTAATATCACTTTGTCAGTAATAATATCGGGTATTTGCTTGTGCCTTTACTTAACCTTAAAATCCCCTTATTATAAATATTGCTTGAGTAGACCCATAAATATGAATCATAGGGGTTGAAAAAGAGGCACTTTAAACAAGAATTGTACAAAATATAAATACAACAACCTTTATCACATTTTTATATACCAAAAAAAGGAAAAAAACACCTTCAAAAGCGCTTTGTACATATGCACATTTATCAAACTAGGGCTGAATCAACTAAACGGCCTACTTCTGTTTGTAAAGAAAGTGGCCAAATATGGTCATGACCATACTTGGATGACAGCATCGCCATGTGGGCAGGTTGTCAGATGTTGCTCATACTTGTCATGACTGAGGCTGGATCTACATTGCTGTTGACATAGTTGATGACATGATTGATGTTGGATTTACATCGTGGGACTTATTTTTAAAATATTTTTTGGAGGAGGGAATTTGTTTAAAAAATGACTTTTTTCATGGCGTCTGTGTTTTTATATACTTTTTAAATTTTTTGTGAATAAGTAACAAAGGGTATTTATTATTTAAGGACTTATTCATGGTGTCTGTTTTAAAAATGTTAGGTACCTGATAGCTGGTGCCTCTTCATACTAAGGGCTGGCTTGTTTAAAAATGAAAATTAAAAATTAAACAAATTTGAAACAAAAGCTGGTGAGAGTCATTTAGAGGCAGAAGTGATACTGCCACTAAAAAAACAGACTTCTGGCTGCATTAGCTGGAGGTTCAGGCAGAACTGGATAAATCTGGGAGCATAAGCAGCCAACTTACATTTAGTCACATCAATTAGTCATAATGCATATATGTTGGTACAATGTAAAGCACATGTTTGCAATTCTGGATGTGATTGGGCTTTGTCAGGTTAATAGAAATGAAGAGAAAGATAGGATACAGACAGTAGGAAAAGAGGTGGTATGTGTGGAAAGCATCAGGATGGGGTTGAGGGGTCTGAGGACCTCTATTTACATAAAGTGAGCAGACAGTTGTCCAAAGGTAGGCAGTGATGGATCCATGTGGACCACATCCTTTCAGAGAAGGTCATTCCATCATTAAGCATAGAGGTCATTGTTATTATTGATAATCATACACGAGACCCCGAATTTGACCTCTTTTTGCTATAGTTTGGGGACAGCAAAAATATGTTGCTAATTTTAACTGGGTGTATGTGAGCCTTTAATGGTTTTTATTCAATAGGGTTTCGGTTGGGTCCTTGATGGGGCTTGGGAAAACTGTGTTTGATAGTTACTCACTATTATTTATGTCCAACAATATCACACATATTTACTGCAAAACCACATGTAGGAGCTGTGTGTTTTGGGTAGCTCATAGGAAAAATGATTAAAGAAAAAAAAACTAGGGAGTGACAAAACATTAATAGGAAAAGGCACATGACAGTAGAGAATAGAGACAACATCAATATAACTGTACTCTAGCTTTGATATGCTCTGTATTAAGCATGAGTGTTGATCTCAGTGTAACTACATTTTAACATGCTACTGTATACTGGTGCATTTTGCAGGAAAATGTTTTGCATTCGTTTATTTTAAAAAGTTATTCCCCTCTTGAGCACTATGTAAAAGAGCACAGTATTAAGGAAGAAGCTAATTTTATCCTCTTGTGTGTCATAGGTATAATATATGCCTTTGCCTTTTATTAATATAATGTGTTCCATAAATAAGCATTAGGAGAGCAGATAATGTTTATAAACTAGTTTTACAGCACTTATTGCTCATCCAATTTGATGTGCTTATTATAAACATGCAATACAGTAATCAAGAAGGAAGTAACATCAAAATCCCATACATTTAGGATAAAATACCACCAGTTCTCATGTGCATAGGTTATTGCTAGGTGACCAGGCCAGTTTTCCTAACGTTATATACTTAGCACAGTGTATCTTAAACAACTGGCATTTTTTAATATAATTTTTCAATAACAGCTTTCATCTTTTTTCATCCATTGTTGCATATCAGCAATTCTGATGTTCTGCAGTCTCTTTCCAGCCACTTCCTGTCTATATGTCAGCAATATAGCAACTGCGGTCTGTCATTTCTCAGGGCATATTGTGCTAGTTTGAGCTAGGTTTGTCAACAAGGCTGCTGGTAGTCTTCTTCAGAAGCCCATGTAATGCGTTGATAATGCAGGAGAACAATTAAGAGGCAGACACAAAGCATTGTCACACTATAAAAGGAATTGCCTAAACAATGATAATCCTGAAAGGACTACCAGGTATTACCTTAAAGCAGAATAACATATTAATTTTTTTTTCTTTATATAACTGGTGTTTTTTGTTGAGACCTGCAGATTTGAAGAATTTAGCAACTGGGTTTACATATACTTGAAACCTCACCCTTTCATTTAACAAATATTTCCACAGCCTTCTGGCATAGCCCAGATTTAGCACCAGAAGTGGGCCAGTCTTAGTGCTATCCTGGCCCAAAAACAATTGCCAGTATGCAGCCCGGACACAGTATCCAGGGAATCCACAGAGGTACAATGAATGATCTTAGGAATACAACAGGAATTGTTAGTACAGTCGGCTTTAGCTATATATATATATATATAGAGAGAGAGAGAGAGAGAGAGAGAGAGAGAGAGAATACTCACTCATTTATAACTTGGTATACAGCTTGGGTTAATTGATCCATTATATTCATCATCTGAACTGAAGATAGAATGGAGGTGCTTGGGTAAGTCATGCTGGTGAGTAATTGGGTTTTGGAATCTGGCATGGCATCTGTAGAAAACACAGCAAACAAATGTATTAGTTTAACCAGATTTTATTACCCTAAAATTCACTCAAATACTTGTAAGGAAAGGTTTTTTTTAAGGAATGCACTATATGACATTAATAAACAATTAATAAACGAGTATTAACAAGATGTCCCAGCTGCTAGATTTATCCAGTGGCTCTTAGAGGATGTATTTTAATTTGTGTTCCTTTAGCGGTTGTTTGGTGGCATATAAAAAAACTATTTACTATATAAACATGTATCATAGTAAGCATTGTCACAGGAGTGCAATAGCAGCATGGTAGAATATTTCTGCTCCTGCATGTACTGCATTAATGCTCGCTTCTCAGAGATTTCCCTGTTGTATGTCTGCAATGTGGCAACTGGAGTGAAATGAAAATGGTGTTTAGGTTGATAAGCAACATGAGGATACTGACGCACTCCTTACCGCATGCCCCTCTGATGAGAGGAAGGGTGCTGCAATGACCGTGGACGGCGCCGCGTAGTCAAACAGATAGCAAAGAATGTCAACGGCACACCCTAAAGTGGTATTCAAAACCGTGTGTTCTTTATTCATGCATGTTGTCTTATTAAAGCACAATGTTTCAGGGCCACGCAGGGTCCCCTTCAACAGGCTCAACATTGAGCCTAATGAAGGGACCCTGCATGCCCCCGAAAACCTTGCACTTTTTTACTTTTTACACTAACCTTATTGCTATCACATAGGGGGCTAACAAGATAGGGTGTGACAGGTCCTCTTTATGGAGACATCAGGGGTCTTTTAGACCCCTGTCACCTATGGACCCCAAAGAAGCTGAGGATGCAGAGATCTGCTTCCCTAGCTTCTTCCCCTGACTCTAAGAGCCGGATAATGTAAACAGTGACACCGGAAGTGACATAATGCACATCAATTCCGGGTCCAGTGATCGGAGAAGAGATCAGCCCCTGAATCTCTCTCTCTGATCGATAGCGGAGCAATGGGGAAGCCAACAGCGGCCCTGCGTGTGGGGAGTGTTTTTGAGTTACATTCTGGGTATATGCTATTCACATCTGCAAATAATGAATTTTAAGAGATGATGTTTTATGACTATCTGAAGGTCCCCTGAGGAAGCGGACTATTAGGGTCTTATGAAATTCACTGGGAGTACTTAATGGTTAATGAAATATGATAAGAAAATAGAAAGATGGCCCAGTATGTGTGTAGGTTATCCCTCAGCACTTGGAAACATTGTGACCCAACTTAATGTTTTATGTTTTGTATAATTATATGTAAAAAGGTTTTTATGGAATTATATTTTTCTAATAAAATGTATTAACATATTACATGTGTCTACATACCCTTTTATCTAAATAGCTCTGTTATTTAACACTGGTATGTGCACTCTAGGAGACCTAGGAGACAGCGGGATTGATTAACTTAAGAAGTAGAAAGTTTTCTTTGTCCAATAAGCCTCTATTTACTTTATATATCCAATGATATGCAGAACAAAATTCTACTGCCTTAGTAAATCAACCCCTGTGTATTAGGTGGGAAAGTTGACAGATAGGACGTTGGGCAGTAGCTGTTGGACTCTAGGTAACTGTTGGACTGGTAATTCGAAGTGACAGGCTCAAACAAAGAGTATGAAGCTGAAAGCTAAAAACAGGGGCAAATATGATTGTAAGACAAGTAAAGCTACACAATCACAATAATTTATAACTGAATATTCAGATTCTTGCTGGGCAGCGTATTAAAACTCAACAAGTTGTGTTTGCATAAATTACAGTAACTAAGATCAGACATTTCCTTTCATTTAAATGTTAAACAAATGCAAATCAAAATATTAGATATACAGCATTTTCATCAGATAAGTAGCTTGTATAGTTATGTGGCTTTACAGTGATATAGGAAAACTTCTTTGAAATCGTCATTTAATATAGCTCATTTATGACTGTATCCTGTTGAACAATTGCCAATGACAAGCGGTATGTGAGTGTTTCACATACAGACATTTTCTAAGCTCTCCACTAAGTATTATTATTAGTTCTGCAGCACACCCTGAAGTTTGCTAGAGGCTGCACTTTTCAGATAACTCAATGATTACACAATTACGGTCAAATTTATTTTACCTTCCTCTTATTCTACTGAATCTACTTGCCTCAAAGGAGCAATAAAAGTGGAAATCACTTTTTCCTTTGTGGTACAATGAGTTTCTTCAAGGTACTTTATTCAACTGTACTCCGTGTTATATAGTTCAACCACTTGTGTGAAAGTTATGCGTTTACTACTCCAAAGTGTTTTTTGAAGTAAAATATTCTGGCTTACTTGTTAACATTTTAAAATAGCTAGGAATGTGTCACATTTGACTAGGCATTTTTTTTACATACACAATCACTAAAATAATTTATACAACACTTTGAAAGAACACTGTCCAGTGTATTCCCATAAAAGCTATGCCCTATAATAATTTACCCCATGAATAAAAAGGTATCTACACCCCCAGAATTTGAAATATATTACAGCTTTTCAGGCGTGTTTCCCCTTTATAGTCACCTAGATATCCTGTAAATAACACACTTCTTGTCCTTGGGTAGCTTAACTTTCTCAATGCACTATGGAGGAAGCCATGGTTGTTACCCAGACTGGACAACTAACATGTCTGTTTTTGTTTGTCCTTATTACATGGGAGATAAGGAGATTATTATTACTAATTTTTTACAGAATTTATATAGTGCCAGGTTACCAATCCTGATGAGCAGTTTACAATAGAAAGATAACATTCAGTTCAGCTAACAGGAAGTGGCAAAGACATTGAATTTCTTGCAAGATCAACAGGTATTTTCTGTACTTGTGAAATGTTCCAATCCTAAAAAATAAACACTAATGAAGCCACTTCATCTAAGGACTGGTAAGCTGCAATATATTCAATTTTTGATCTTGGGTTTAGATATCCTTTAAATGGAACCTGTTATTAAAGAAGTAAATACATGTCACGCCTGTTGTGGATGGAGGGGTGTGGATCGCAACTGCGGAGGCTTCTCAGTCAGTGAAACCCTGGTTTCACTCTCTAATTAACAGAGAGTTAGGGTTTCTTGCATCACAGCCTTATTTTAAACTAAATGTGCGGTTTAGAGTGGGGTTATTACTTCATAAGCCCTACCCCTGAGCACCTATGTAACAGGGAAAAACTGGGTAGCAGGTGGGAGAGGGTCACAATAGTATAGCAATGATCCAGGTTCCAATCAAGTAACAATCCTATTTGCATAAGTTGGTATCCTATACAGTCACTACTGATCGTTGTGCAAGTGCACCAAATACTTGCGGTTTTGAGGGTAGAGTGGAGGTGGAGAGCTGTGGGTCCTTAGGGGGTCCGGTTCCGGAAGAGGTAGCGGGCAGCAGTAAGCTGGAGGCATTGAAGGGTCCCAGGAGACAGCAGGCGTTCTGGCTCAATAGTGGAACGCCATGCTGTCTCGTCTGGGCGTCTATATAGGGCTGCAACTGTTTGGGGAGGAGCCGCCGAACAGATCGGCTCACTTCCGCGTTCCAAGGTGGAATGCACCCGGCCTTCGAACCCGGAAGTGATGAGCGTGCGTTCCACCGTGGAACGCAGCGGCGGACTCGAGAAGCGGCTGGGTCCCTACCATTAAGGTCTATGGCGGTGGCGTTACAGGACCCCCTCCTCAAGGGAACACCCCCGGGGTTCCCAGCCGGAGCTGGCCGATCAGGGTACCTACGGTGGAAAACACGAATTAGTCGAGGAGCATGGACGTCAGCTGAGTCCCCCCAAGAGTCATCCTGAGCCCCATAACCTCTCCATCTTATCAAGTATTGAAGAGAAGAACCTCTCTTCCTTGAGTCGAGTATCCGCTCGACCTTGAACTCAACCTCACCCTGTATGTCAACCGGAGGAGCCGGAGGTGGTCTTCTCTCTGGAAATGGGTTTGGCCTGAAGGGTTTAAGGAGCGAAACATGGAACGAGGGGTGTGTCTTCCAATCTGGGGGTAGTGTCAGACGAACAGCATTCGCATTGATCACCTTCTCGATTGGGAAGGGACCAACGAACTGCCGGCCTAGTTTCCGTGAGGGAACTTTAAGTCGTAGGTTCCTGGCGGAGAGCCACACCATGTCACCAACGTGGTACGTAGGAGGGGCTGTTCTGCGGGTATCGTAATAGCGCTTCTGTTTTTCCTGTGCTGCTTCGAGGTTGGACCGAAGAATCCCTGAGGTCTTCTGTAAGGTGGAGAGGTAGTCCTCCAATGAGGGAACATTGCTTGGCAGCGAAGACGTGGGCAGAGATTTCGGGTGGAAGCCATAATTAGCGTAGAATGGAGATAGTTGGGTAGATGAACTGGTAGCATTGTTGTATGCAAATTCGGCGAGAGGCAGAACCTGGGACCAGTCATCATGGAGATGTGTGCAATAGCATCTGAGGTACTGCTCGAGGGATTGGTTAACACGTTCCGTTTGCCCGTTGGTTTGGGGGTGATAAGCAGTGGACATGCGATGGTCGATCTGTAATGTATCACACAGGGTTTTCCAGAAACGAGAAATGAACTGGCTCCCCCTATCAGAGATGATCCGAGAAGGCAATCCATGTAGCTTAAGTATTTGGGTGATGAAGGTTTGTGCAGTCTCTTTGGAGGTTGGTAATTTTTTCAAGGGGGTGAAATGGGCCATTTTTGTTAGCATGTCGACTGTGACCATGATGGTGTTGGCACCATCGGACATAGGAAGGTCGACTATAAAGTCTAGGGAGACGGCCTCCCAGGGTCTATTGGGAATAGGTAAGGAGGTAAGCAACCCGTAGGGAGGTCTTCTTGAGTGTTTGTTGATAGCGCATGTTTTGCATATTCATGTATAGTTTTTGCCATACCAGGTCACCAGAAGTTCCTTTTTACAAGGTCAAGTGTCTTCGAGACTCCAGGATGTCCAGCCAAGGGGCAGTCATGGTGTTGCTTGATCACTAAGGTTTGCATTGTAGGAGGCACGTAGTACTTGCCGTTGTTGAGGTACAAGCCCTCGGAGTCGCGGTTGAGACCAGCGGGAAGAGAGGTTGAGTCCTGAGAAATGCTTTGTTGAAGTAGGTGCTTGAAGTTATGTCACGCCTGTTGTGGATGGAGGGGTGTGGATCGCAACTGCGGAGGCTTCTCAGTCAGTGAAACCCTGGTTTCACTCTCTAATTAACAGAGAGTTAGGGTTTCTTGCATCACAGCCTTATTTTAAACTAAATGTGCGGTTTAGAGTGGGGTTATTACTTCATAAGCCCTACCCCTGAGCACCTATGTAACAGGGAAATACTGGGTAGCAGGTGGGAGAGGGTCACAATAGTATAGCAATGATCCAGGTTCCAATCAAGTAACAATCCTATTTGCATAAGTTGGTATCCTATACAGTCACTACTGATCGTTGTGCAAGTGCACCAAATACTTGCGGTTTTGAGGGTAGAGTGGAGGTGGAGAGCTGTGGGTCCTTAGGAGGTCCGGTTCCGGAAGAGGTAGCGGGCAGCAGTAAGCTGGAGGCATTGAAGGGTCCCAGGGGACAGCAGGCGTTCTGGATCAATAGTGGAACCCCATGCTGTCTCGTCTGGGCGTCTATGTAGGGCTGCAACTGTTTGGGGAGGAGCCGCCGAACAGATCGGCCCACTTCCGCGTTCCAAGGTGGAACGCACCCGGCCTTTGAACCCGGAAGTGACGAGCGCGCGTTCCACCGTGGAACGCAGCGGCGGACTCGAGAAGCGGCTGGGTCCCTACCATTAAGGTCTACGGCGGTGGCGTTACAATACAATGATTCCTGACCCCATCCAAAAAAACCTTGCAACTCAGCTGTCACATTGATCCTCTAGCAGTATTTCAGAGCCCACACAGGTTTGTAAAGTCAGAATTCTCAAACTGCATATTTGTACTAGCACAGGCACTCACTAAGTGGTGAAGTTATAGGACTGGTACGATACCCTAGTATATAGAGTTTTCAGAAGAGGGTCAGAAGTGGCACCATGGGTATTTCTCTCATAGCAGGTTCCATTTGAGGGACTGATGTCACCACCTTTACTTATAGTAAGATGGTGTAATCTATCAAAAAGGATTTACCAAGGCTTGTGCTTAATAGGACGCCTATAGATTGCTATAAAGTGTAAACGCCAACTGTGACTTAAGCTGGGTACACACTGATCAAATTTCAGCTAATTTGGCAGTAATTGGCAGCAATGCTATCTGTGAGTGTCAGTTAGATCAACTTTTGTCAAAGAGAGAAGATTCTAGTGCCATGAATGAATGAACAGCAGCAAAGGTCACTTTATCCACAGGAATCAAACAAGTTTTTCCTGAGGAGACAGGGTTTAGATAATATTCATATAGCCATCTAGTTAGCCTTAATTGTTCATTCCCATTCCCTAATAACTAGGGATGCACCGAAACATCTTGGGTTTTTCAGAAAAATACAAAAAGTGCCATGATGACCGAAAATGCTGCCTAAAATTCAGTGTATCCCTAGCTTCTCTTCTCCCCGCTGGGCGCCGGTCTGTGTGTCTTCTGATGCAGCGCTGCCGTCCAGTGGGGAGGAGAGAAGCTTTCAGGATGCTGAGTTGTTGGGGTGACAGCTGTCATCATTGCCGGAGACCGAGCTCTCCTCTCACACCTCTTGGCTTGGCCTCCTGTGTCAGGATGGAGAGCGGCGCTGGGCGGTGACAGCTGTGATCTGTCACAGGAGGCAGAGCTCTCCTCTCACACCTCCCGGCTCCATCTCCTGTGTCAGGATGGAGAGCAGTGAGTGGAGGAGAGCGGTGTGATCTGCCACCCCTCCACTAACTGCATGTATGACATTCATACCAAGCATCCAGTCATCCTATATCCTATTGTAATCATTATATTTGCTGCATAATGAAATTTATATTTAAAATGTCAATAAACAATATGTAAAATAAAAAAATGTTTGCTTTTAGAAACACTGTAACAATATATTGCATTAAAATATAAATATCAAGGACCTTCATGGTTTTCTAGTTCATGTTTTGCTTTGGGTCACCATTAGCCATGTCCCTATTGAAAGTATACAGAGCACCGAGAGATAAAAAGTTCAGGTAAAATTCAGGTAAGGAAAGTAATATACAATATATAAATTCATTAATGGCTGTGTGTTGAAGCATATCACTCTCACAACTATTTTCATATTTCTGGAGTTAGAAGTCTATAGATTTAATCATTTCTAATAATGGGGAGTTAATTGAGGATATTGCAATTGCGGAAAAACTGTACAACAGTGATCACTATGTGATTACCTTCAATATTGGGTATAGAAAAGGGAAGTCGGATGGTTGGACAAAAACCCTAAACTTCAGGAAGGCTAACTTTGTTAAGCGACGCCAGCTAATGAGTGAAATCAAATGGGAAAATGTATTTCTGGAACTGAGCACTGAACAGAAATGGGAATGTTTTAAGACCACATTACAAAAGGCTATTACCAAGTGTATACCATTGGGGAACAAAATTAAAAGATCAAAAACTAAGCCTGTATGGATAAATAAAATTGGTAAAGCAACTCATCAAGCACAAGAGAGTGGCATTTATAAAATATAAGATGGAGGGGACCGCATTGGCATTCAATAACTATAAAGAATGTAACAAAAGATGCAAGAAAATAATTCGGGCAGCTAAAATAGAGTGTGAAAAACATATCGCCACAGTTAGTAAAAAGAATCCCCCAAATTTTTACCAGTACATAAACAGCAAAAGAGTAAGAAAGGAGCAGATAGGCCCAATAATGGATGATAACGGGGAGTTGGTCACAAACGACAGGGAAAGGGCCAAGACATTGAATACCTTTTTCTCATCATTTTAAACATATTAAACATAGGAACGCACATAGTTCGTCTCAAAATATTCCACAGTGGTTGACAGAAACCGAGATACAAAACAGACTCAAACTACTTAATGCAAATAAAGCATTAGGACCAGATAATCTACACCCCAAGGTACTCAAAGAACTAAGCCAGATGATAGCGGGACCATTATTCATAATTGTTAAAGATTCCATAATGACTGGCAGAGTGCCAAGCGACTGGCGGAGGGCTGCGGTAGTTCCAATATTCAAAAAAGGGTCCAGATGCGGGGAACTACAGACCTGTTAGCCTTATATCGGTAGTGTGCAAGATGTTAGAGGGTATGATCAAAGACCACTCAGTAGAATTTGTTCAGGATAATGGCATAGTAAAGGACAACCAGCATGGATTTAGGAAAGACCGTTCCTGTCAGACTAACTTGCTAACTTTTTACGGAGGAGTAAGTAGAGATCTGGATGAAGGGAGGCCAGTGGATGTGGTATATTTGTACTTTGCTAAAGCATTTGATACAGTACCACATATACGTTTACTACACAAGCTGAGGTCTATGGGCATAGACGAAATAGTGTGTACATGGATAGAAAACTGGCTACAGGAACGGGTACAAAGAGTATCGATAAATGGCACATTCTCTGATTGGGCTAGGGTCATGAGCGGCGTTCTGTGCTAGATCCCATGCTATTTAACCTTTTCATTAACGATATTGGGGAGGGGGTAAACAGCCATGTTTCAGTGTTTGCTGATGATACTAAAATCGGGAGGGTAATAGACACTGAATCAGACGCTATAACATCACAGGGGGATCTAGATAAAATAGGGTAGTGGGCAACTACATGGCAGATGCGGTTTGATGTAGATAAATGTAAAGTAATGCACTTTGGGGTTAAAAATAAGAAAGCGAATTACACATTAACGGGAGCTCTGCTCGGGAAGTCCGAAAGGGAAACAGATTTGGGGGTGATTGTAGACCACAGACTGAATAATAGCTCACAGTGTCAGGCTGCGGTAAGCAATGCTAGTAGGGTCCTGTCCTGTATTAAAAGTGGAATGTTCAGCAGGGACAAGTCTATAATTGTGCCACTTTATAGATCACTGGTTCGGCCTTATCTGGAGTATGCGGTCCAGTTTTGGGCACCAGTGAACAGAAAGGATGTTCTTGAACTGGAAAGAGTCCAGAGAAGGGCGACCAAACTCGTAAAGGGGATGGACGACCTGAGCTATGAGAACAGGCTACTAAATTTAAACATGTTCTCATTGGAAGTAAGGAGATTAAAAGGGGACATGATTTGCATGTACAAAATGTTTACATGAAAAAATAGCAACATTAGCAGGAAACTTTTTACAATTAACTCCATGACAAGGACGAGAGGCCACCACCTAAAACTAGTGGAGAAAAAATTTCAGCGCAAGGGGAGAAGGGGGTTTCTTCTCAGTTAGATCAGTCAGGGTCTGGAATTCGCTGCCACATGCTGTGATTTCGGCTGAGAGTTTGGCATCATTCAAGAGGCGATTGGACGATTTCCTCAGAGACCGTAATATACAGGGGCACAAGTACTTTTAATAATAAGAACAAACAGGGACCTATACATACGCGCAAATCAGTAGGACCATACACATACACACAATAGGTTGAACTTGATGGACATATGTCTTTATTCAACCTCAAATACTATGTAAAACTCAACAGAGCAATCTGTATTTCTTCTTTTAGCCTTCGTATACCATTATAGGCAATGTGTGACTCTCTTAAATATCTCGGTTGGGTCAAGTTGACATCTAAGAGCGTCACAAATTTATTTTATAGAATGCAAGTTGCGGCATGAGTTGTGCATTTCCTATCCCACTGAGAGATATGTAACTATTTCTATGGCTTTATTCCCCCGAACACAGGGAGTAATTGTGACTGGAGTGGAA